TTTCTCCTGTAAGGGCTTCAGTGCAGTTTTCAGCTCCTCCTGAAACAAACCAACACACTCCATGGAGACTCTGTGTTTAGTAATAGCTGTATTCTCTCTTATAAGCACTCATTAGAGCTTTTAAATGCACCAATACAGAAGAAAATTATGAGAAGTGTAGATTTATACGATGTTAAGTGGTTATTATGTTACAACATTTATCACAAGGCAATTGTAAATTATTATTCATTTATTACACCTTGTGTTTTTTTAATTGAACCTATAGATATTGATCTATAGAATAAACTTTTTTACATGACCTCACAGGAATATTTTATTTACCTTACGATCTGTTAATGCCTCATCAATGGGGCAGAATTTGTGGTTGGTGTGTTTTCTTGAATCCCGACACACCAAACACACCGGCTGTTGATCGTCCAGACAGAAGAGTTTGAGTTTCTCACTGTGCAGACTGCAGACTGTTTCTGAAACTGATGATCTCTGACTTCTCTCCTGTAAGAATGTCTCACACAGGTTCTTTAAGGCAAGGTTTCTTGGAGGTTCAGTCATAGACGACTTCCTCCTACAAACAGGACATTCTCTGGATCCTTTGGTCGCCCAGAACTGCTGCAAACACACTTTACACACACTGTGACTGCAGCGCAGAACAACAGGATCCTTGAAGATTTCATAGCACACAGGACAGGACAAATCCTCTTCTGAAAACTTCGAAGCCATTTTATTTTGCTGCTGTTGTTGTTCTCTCCAGTTGGAATGTTCAGAGTTTCACTTTCACTTTGGTAAAAAGTAATCACACTCTGATTTCATGTTTGTTTAAAGTTAATACACGACTTTGTAGGTCCAGTTAGTAATCACTTCCTTTCACAGTGCAGAAAATGAGACTCAGAATTCTCCATGAACTGAGAATAAATCTAAACTCACCAGAGCAAAAGGACTACAGTCGTCTCAGACTCTGCACTTCCTTAATAGGAGGAGTTTCAGAGAGTCATGTTATGACCTTTTACAGTCATCACTGACAGCAGAAGCAGCTGATAAAGCTTACTTATATTTAAGTACTGACTACGAGTTTATAGTTTTTAAAAATATTTATTGAACTTGATGCAGCCGATCCAAAACAGCATGACTTTATTTGGTTAAGATAAAGTTCAATACTGTGACAGAAAAATGTTATAAGAATTTATACCAATGTTACTTTGGTTAACATTGGTAACAATGTATTTGCCACAAAATCCCTACAATGATATCAATTCAGAATTGTGTGATTGATCAGCACTTTGCACTTAATTTCCCATAAGGACTAGTGGTGGTATAAACTACTAATAATGTGTAGTAAAATATTGTTATATATTGTCTCTGCATCACGGTGGTAGAGCGGGTAAGGTTGCTGCCTCACAGCTCCAGGATCTGCAGTTCAATATTAAACTCAGGTTACTGTCTGTGTGTGGTTTCACAAGTTCTTCCCATGTTTGTGTGGGTTTCCTCCAGATTCTCTGGGTTTAACTGGTAATGTGGTCTTTTCAAACCCACATACCGTGTTTTACTCATAGTAAATTGGTCAAATGTAAAACAAAAAATTATAAAACATACCTGGTAATAACAAGGTGACATAACTAAACATTTTATTTCCTAAACATGAAATGTTAACCTGGTCGTTTCTTTAGACAAAGCATTAATTGTTTAAGACTTTAGTATTCATTT